TTAGTAAAATAAGCCAATCTATAATCCACTCATTCTGTCAGATTCAGGTCCTCAAGAAACGGCTAAAGGAAATGGGAGCCAATAAATATGAACTCTGGACCTGCCCCCTTTGACGTCATTTGCCACGCCCCGCCCCCCAAAGGAAACACTCGCTTAAAAAAATTGCTTTACTCCAGAGTTTGTGCTCACAAACTAATAATTTGAAGTTGAGAACTATTTCATGAACCTGAATATTCACTTAAAACTCGGCTGTGTTCTGACTGATATTAGGAGTTTCAATCTTCTCAGCGAAAATCAATACAATCAAGTAAAAATTAATACAATCAAAAAGTAGCCTTTGTTTTATATATATAAAAATTAAATAATTATTTCATTTCTATATAGTTTCGCTTCTGTTTCTGGATATGCTTTCTACACACTTGTGCAAATATCTGGAATTACCAGTACTATATTTAATTTGCTTCAGTTTCTGGAAGCGCTTCCAGTATCTTGTGGAAGATACTGGAATTCACTGGAATTTCACCGGAACTGCCCAGCCAATACACTGCTCTGGCTCCCCCTAGTGGCCAGCTTAAGTTTATACACCTTTAAAGTCTTGGTGTATTTTCTCAACCCTATCGTTTGAGATTCTTTTACAAATTTGTGTGTGTGCTTCTAAGGTTTGTGGCATAGAACCTCCTATGGTTACATCTATTGCTCAACTGCAAAAATAAATAAATAAATAAATAAATAAAAATAAAAAATCCAACTATATATTTTATTAATGTAAAAGTTTATTTCAAATACTGACAAAAATCCTCTCATCTTCCACACAACAAACATTCCAAATAGCCCTGTACTTTCTGAAGTGTCAAAATGTTTCCTTTGTTCTCCAGTGATCCTCATTATGTAAACCCCCCCTTCTTTAAAGAAGGAAGGCTCCTTCTGACCTCCTTGCAACTATCTTGGGCCAGAAACAGGGTGAAATACACCAATTTTGCAATAAAAGAACACAACAAAAATGGGAAACATCTGCTTGCAAAACAAGAAAAACACAAAGATAAAAGCAGCACAAATGTATCAGAGTACATAGCCTGTCATTTGTTTATACATTCTGGCACGTATTTCTCTTCTGGATGACACACCCTGTCTGTGAGGTTTAAAACATACCTAGTCAATTTCCTCTGGTTTGCTCTGTGCATCAAAATTTATGCTTTTAATTTGATTTTCAACAAGTCATTTTTTTTTTCTGAAAGCACAAAACGTTAAATTTAAAACCAAGTAATGCTAAATCGTGAGTTCTTGCTAATCAAGGTGGCAAAAAAAAAAAAGAAAAATCAACTTTTCAGCCCTAATCATTGGTAATTAAAAACAGTCTTATATCCAGTAGATTTTACCTCAGAAGCTAAACAATTATGAAACGGAAATACTGCGAGAGAAAAAAAAATCACGCAAACTTAAAAGGACAGGCATTCTTTACAGCGTATCATCTCAGATTTGTCCTTGAATCAGCAGCATTTACACACATTATCAAACAGATTCATGGAGCCTCTGCAAAACACCGATATACAGCAGAAGTAGTGTTAAAACTGAGGAGAGAGGAACCACTGAATCAGAAATAGCTCAGGCTACAAAAAGACCAAAAAGCAGGTGGGAAACAACAAAAGTCAAATCCTGTTGAAGTCTATTTACAATAGATGAGACGAAGAAAAGTGTTGCATTCATACAGCACCATAACAAGATCATATGCACAGGTCACTTCTCTTTCACACCCTGCAAATTTGACACATTTAAAAAGTGAGGTTGCAGATGTGGTGGGTTTCGCCTACATGATGGAGTGTAAGTTGGTGAAAGTTCCCTGAAGCAGTAATATA